GCTACTTCAGTATTATTGTTATTTTAGGGCTGTTATTAGTGGAATTATTTGTTTTTGTTTTTGGTTCATCAGCTGTTTCCGTTTACTGTGTAGCACCAAAATGTTCAAATTAAAAAGCTTTTCCTGCCGCAAATACTGGCTTTTGAAAAGTTTCAAATTTTTTTCATTTTTTGCTACCAAATTTTCATCTTGGTCCCCAATTTATTCGAAGTGAAAATCATCCAAAAACTTCTGATTTTTCTTTCGTCATTCTCCCTACAACTTACAAGTTTACGCATCTTATCAATGATATAAGAGTCTTTATAAGAAAGCTAAAAAAGGTGCCTTCTTTTTTGTTAATTCACTGATCTTTTAAAATTATTGAAACTTTTTAACCACACACACGTTTTTTTGCAGGTATTCTGACAATGGGGATACCGAATTACCAACTATGAACGACTTTAACGGTGGGCTTGTCTCATGTTCAAGCTCCTACGTAGATTTGGATGTAGGAGATAGACATGGACTATGTGCCTTCAAATGTAACTCAAAAGCTATGTTTACAAGTCAAGAGAAACGTAGTACCCAAATGTTGATGCTTCTTGGTGGCACAATAACGTTTCTGGTCACTGCATTTACGCTGTTTACATTTTTAATTGATCGTCAACGGTTTCTTTTCCCAGAAAGGTAAAACTATCAAAGATATTATACTGCTTTTGCTTTTGAAAACCAAAACTAATGCGCGGCACAAACAATATACGCACGTTAGTGTTTCTAATGCGGTAAAAGGAGCGATCAGTGGTCGGTAGGAAATATGAAGTGAAGATATTTTGGGAGGACAAAGTAGCAGCCAATTTCTTTTTTTCGGCTTCCAGTAACGCAACGATGAACAGTGATGACCCAATAGAATTCATTTACTAAATTTTTTTATGTCTGCTTTACGGTAGCTTTTGTTGCAGCTTTGCGACTATTAGAAAACCAATTTACTAGTCGTAGAAATCTATAACATAAATTCGAAATTTTTTTCCAACAGTCAAAAAAAAGTTTTTGTAACATTTGAGGCAACTGTTAAGAGGAACCGGTTAGAAAATGCTCATACTTTTAGTTACTTCTTGTTCCTTCTTAACAAATTCCTATGCAAATGTTTCTCCTTTAACTATAGTAGAAGAATTTCTTCGACAATGGAGAAAGTAACTAAATGAGTAAACCAATGGCAACTGCGTTTAAAAGCAGCGAAAAAAAAATTGTCTTAGTTGTCAGAAACAGTTTCATAGGACTAGAAAAGAGGGGTTGTTGGAAAAAATAAATAAATAAAGATTTGGCGGCAAAGACATCACATTAGTAAGAGAAGGGTCTGAACGTGGAGAGGAAGGAGCAAAGGAGGGAGGGATGGACGCTTGTTGTTGAGGAGGGACAGGGGTAGAGAGAAAGGCGTCAAAGGTCTACGGGAGAGGCGGCTTGATATATGGCTCCCCTTAGGCCCAAATAAATTATTTTTTCTGCAACCGCGCAATGCTGTTTGCCTGCAAGAGGAACCGATGGCAACCAAAAACCGACAGCAGTTCTTCGGAAAACTGCATGGACACTTTGTTTGTATCGTTGGTTGCCCTGTTGTTCGTTAACTCCAAAACAAAAGCATTTGCTTTTTTTTCTAGAGGTCACAAAGGGCTGATCGCACAGCATAAAAAACAAGCTTAGCCTCTTGGCCTTCTGGTCCAGTCAGTGTGAAAAATAATTAACAGTAGTGCTTTACAAATTCGTTTCTTATTTCCCACTCAAAAAATGCAACGAGTTAGTTTGCTAAAGCAGAATTCGTTTTCTTTACGCAATTTCACTCCCATGTAACATCCCTCCGGTTCACAGCTCTAGTAATTTCCGGAATTTAGAAAAGATGAAGTAACGGACTATACCTCTATGGTTTGTCTGGGTTTCAAAATAGTGCATGGTAGTATGACGATTGTCAGATGACAGTATCTAAGAATTGAAGAGAAAATTTTTCCAGGAAATAAGTTCATGAAACACTGTTGATGTTGTAAAGCAATGGCGTAAGAAATACTTAGTCTCTATGTGCCAAAATAGAGAAACATTGACACATCAAAACGGCCAAAAGTTGCATTTTGGCAGATTTGAGTGATGACAGTACGTAGAGTAGACATTTCAATATTCTAATTGTTCTTTTTTAGGACTTGAAAGTTTCTTCGTTTTAGGTCTATCTTTTACATCTCAGCATGTTTTATGCTCTTCTCAGTGCCATTTATTCTTCGTGGCTTTATACCGTACGAAAATATGGCTTGCGATAGACTGAGTAATGGAAGATGGTTTCTAATTGTTGGTACTTTGGAAAACAAGGCCTGTGTACTCTCTGTGCTGTTCTCGTACTACTTTTTGATTGCCGGCAACATCTGGTGGCTTATGCTTACATTTACATGGTAAAAACAAGTTGTCTTCTTCACTTTTGCTGCATTTATATTAACAGTGGAGAGAACTTCCAGAGGTCGAACAAAAGAAGTACTCTCAGTCTGAATCTCTTTTTGTTTTTATTAGGAGACCTAGTCACAAACTTAACTATATATATATATATATATAT